CTAGACCATAATGCTGGGGAGTATCTTCCTGAACAACCAGGGCTGTATAAGGGCAAAGCAGGTGACCTCAGATCTGGGGGCAATAGGTACTGTGGAATGTGGACACTCTGACCCTCTGACTCTTCTCCTAGTTCCAGCTGAGACACGTTTTTAAGGATGGAAGCTGAGACATCAGCTCCATCACCCTGATGTGGACAGCACCCCTGCTCTAGACCTCCAGTGTCCAACATGGTAGCCTCTAGTCATGTGTGGCTATTTAAATTTAAATTCTCTAAAATTGCCAATTCAGTTCCTCTTTTCATGAACTTATGAGCCCTGTGAGGGGCTCCCAGTCCCCCCATCCTCCCACTGGGCTAGTGTCTGCCATATGGGACCCTGAGAGAGCATTTCCACCATCACAGAAATTCTACTGGAAGGCACAGGTCTAGATCCTTACTCCCCAAAGTGTGGTCCACGGGTGGCAGCCCCAACATCCTCCAAGGACTGACTGAAAATGCCGAACTTTTGTCTTGTCCAGACCCACTGAGTCAGGACCCACATCTTAATAAGATGCCCGGTGTTATGTGTGCACTGCAGTTTGAGGAGCACTGGTCTAGTCCACTCACCCTGCATCTCCTGGGACCAGTAGTTGAGGCAGGACTAGGAACTTTGAGGGTTAGAAATGTCCACTGAGTGTTTCCTCTGAGCTGCTCCCCTGCTGACACCGGCTCCTTCTTTCTAATTTCTCAGCCCCCAACCCCGTCCGGAACCTGAGTGTGAAGACTCAGACCAACAGCTCCATCACCCTGAGCTGGGAGGTGCCCGATGGCCCAAAGCCTCAGAACTATATCTACTGGGTCCAGTGGCCTGGAGACGGTGACAAAAATGAGACCCGAAACACGACAATGACCAGTTACACAGTGGAAGGACTTAAATCAGCGTCCTCTTATGAATTTTCTGTGTGGGCGGAGAAGGACAGAATACCTGGCTCCAAGAGTACACTCGAGGTTTCCACAGGTCAGAAGCACCCTGTTTTGTTCCCTTTGTTTTGCATAGAGGGGGTGGGTGGTAGGAGATGGTTGAGATCCTCCAGGAGAAGGTGTCAGCAAAGGGGGTCCACTTGTCCTTAGGCCTCATTGCACCAGACCTTCAGTGAGTGTGGGGACACTGGCCACATCCCAAGGATTGTCCACAGATGCACCTGCCTCTGAGTTAGGGGCTGAGGAGCTTTCTAGGCCATAATACTGGGGAGTATCTTCCTGACAACCCTCTGAGTCTTCTCTTAGTTCCAGCTGAGACACAGTTTTGAGGATGGAAGCTGAG